AAAGCCGTAATAATCTTCCGATCGAGCCAATATCTGATCCTCCTCCCATCGGTTTACGCCGCTGTGAGCTTTCGGAAAGCCCTGCGTAGCACACGTCCCCACCATCGTAATGCTTGTAAGTCAACTGCATTATCAACTATGCCTGATGCTTCATAAATTATTCCACTATGGGGACTGATTTTCCACTTCCCCCGGTGTGAGAACAAGCGATCTTATGCGAAGTTTCAAATGGATACAGAATACTCAACCTTATTTATTTTTAACCCTTGAGGCACATAAGCTCTGCGTGTTTCAGTCTTGTACTGCCTCTGTTTGACCAGAACTTATTACTATCTTGACGGTGCAAATGTTGCGCCACTTCCAGTCGTTTCCTGTCGAAAATAAGGTTTTCTGCTTACGTTCAACGCACTGCTCTGTAAATTTGAGATCGAAAATACGGCTATTATTTCACAAACCGGCTACTTTTTCCTTATTCACCTGTCAGCAAATAACATTTATATGGAAAGAAAACATAAACTTACTACGACCTGTTCCATTGGCTCCTCGATGCAGAAAGATGGAACCACTTGGTTGTACTTGACTACTGGTACGTTCGATTTTTCTCACCATGATGGCCGGACAGTATCCTTCTTCTCCTTCCGCATTCCGTACACGGAACCAATCTTTATGTTCGTCCAGCAATTCCAAATACTCTCCCAAGACAACGGTCAGCTCTCTCGGTGATTTGGCACGATAACCCACAATGACCTTCACAAGACTGAAATGCAAAAGATCAATACAATTAGTAAAACGAAAACAACTCAATGAAATTTAGTACTAACTGATTGGACAACTTGCTGCGCAATCAATTTGCAATTATCTTACGGCTGTTTACCCTGAGATGTTGATGAAGATGGGTTTGAATACAATTATTCCCTAAAGTAAGGCTGCAATTCCACCTTATGGATCTAAATGATCGGTGTGTCCTTTCGGGGGACCAGGAAGAAGCAATACAGACCATGTGAAAGGATCCAACTGATGGAAAAAATCAAAATTAATCACGCTTGCACAAAGGATCTCAGCGATGGGCAAGTACCGAAACCAGTTTTTCCTACCCTTACCAAACTTTTGATGAGTTTGTGTTCAATAGAAGCGATGAAAAGTAGAGTGACAATACACCAATATATTGAGTTGAGTATTTGAGCAGTACTAGAGTGGAAGCGTTTCTTTGTAAAAATCAATGCTACGCGTTGAATGTTCAGACCGTTCCGGGTGGAAGACCTGAAGATAAACTAGCGCAGAATCTAGCCTGAGTCACCGTGCTTATCGTATCGTGTTTTGTGAATGGGTAAACGGCTCTGAACAATGTCACGATTATATTATATGAAATCCATAGGTGACGATGAGATACCTGGGTTGCCGAAGAAGAAGAAAAGCTTCCATTCGAGTAATACGATACATTCTGTTTGCAAAGTGGTCACACGTTACTCCGCCGTTTTTTTTAAATAGGGCGTTATCAGATAACGGGATTTTGCGCTCCAAACTGGAATTACACAACGTGTTTTAGAGCGCGGCTGTTGTACCACGTGGCAGTTTCGCTATGTGATACAGAGCACACAGAGAATGAAATCAAGTTCACGATGATTTTTGTCGTACTCAGGGAGAACCGTGAACCTAAGCGGTCCGAGGCAATGCGCAGCTGTTTTGATCAGTTCAAGTTTCCCGAACGAGAAAAAAAAACAATCAGCATGTACCCGAACCAGATCCTCCCCCTCCGTTGTGGATTAGATAGATATTGCCAGTGTCCATTGTGGATCTAGCCGACCGAGGTGTCTTCTGTACTACAGTCCGTAGGTGTGTAAGTGTGTACTTCCGAACTTCATAGCTAATCCAGAAGACGTTTGTGGGCAAATTCCTTTTCGACTTATCGTATCAAGGTTTGCTCGTGTCGAATAATGGCACAATCATTTAGTCGGTTGAATATAAATCAATTTGTGATAGAATGAAGAGATGAACAAATCGTAGCTCTGTTCCCGATAGCGAATAGTTTGTGATAAATCTTGATGACTGGTAAATTAATCATAATCAACCAGGGAATCTTTCAAAGGAAATTAGGACGCGCCTGTAAACCACCAATGAGGTGATTGCAGTTCGTGTTTGGAATTTATAAGTGTGCAAACGGAAGATGTAACAAGCCATAAAATAATTTAGACACTTGTTTCTCTGGTCTGAACATTGGCATGGCTGGGCATGAGACGTGGCCTCAGCCTCCACCTTCACTTAGTTGGTAATTACTACTAGCTTTACACGTTCAGTTGACTATTTCAGATTACTTTACGCAAATAGTTTCTGGGCTACTCTACGCAACACAATGTTTTCTCTTCCGTCCTTGCAACCCCGAGCACATTTGGCTTCACTGCTATTTCCCATTGAATTCCGTTTACCTGCCACCTCCTGTTGACTGTCACTATCGTTTCCATGATTGCCTGATCTGCTTGTCCATCTCTATCATCTGTTGTATTTAATCAACATGTGCGTGAAACTGCCCGATGTGATGTATTGAAACGAAATTGATTCATCTGATGTATGAGATTTTCACATATATAAACCAGATTGATTGATTAGAACTAATCATCCTTCAGACTTCACCTTCTTTCACATTCCTCAGCTCTTCCAGTCAAGCATACACTCGGAAGCACTAGACTCGAGTTTCGCCCTTATGGTGGTGGTGGTTGGCACAGTGGCAACACACGCCTTCCGAGTGATGGGTCCAGAGTTCAGATCCTGGACGAGATGGTGGATATGCACTACTGATGAGCTTTAATAATAGCGAAACCCGAGTCTAGTGCTTCCAAGTTTATGGTTGGCTTGGAGAGCTGAGGAATGTGCGTGAAGGTGAACGCTGAATGATGGTCGGTTCTAATCAAGCAATTAACCAATATTAATTATTCCACAACACTACTCTCAAGTAATTTTGAGTTAACTAAGATTTAGAATTCTTACGATGGCGGAGGAGGCGGAGAAAAATTACTCACATTGTTCACCTCATCAAAGACCGGAATTTTACCGTAAGTAAAAAATGAATTACTTGAAAAATTTTCCCGGAAGCACACTGCTGGTTTTGCGGTTTTTGCCGCTTGCCAGGCATGTTCATCCGATAGTCTTTTGTCACTTCATATAATTGTGCCCAGAAAATGTATTTTCATCAGGATTAACTTCATTTGCAACACCGGGTAATTTTGGATGGACGGGTCTTTCAGAACCAGTCCATTCGTGGATCACTTCTATTTTTAGTAAAGTATTCCATTAGATGCCAAAGTCGCGTTTATTGCAGTTAGTAGTATGTAAGACATTGAATCATATTATTGATTAATCAATGAACTGGTTCTGAAAGAGTTGTCCAAACAAATGTACCCGGTGTTGCAAATGAAGTTGTTGTAACAGAAAATGTTGACCAACTCTCCACATATCCCGTAGGTTTGTGCTTAGGGGAAAAATGATTTAACTGGAGTGCTCGAGAATGAAAGATTTGCCAGGGGTCAATCTGGATGATGGTGCGATTAAGAGGACCCCCAGGTGTGTCCGAGCCCCGATCCCGCTGCGTGAACTCTCCATTTTCGTTGTCGCATGAAAGCCCTTTGAATAATCTCTTCTCCCTTTCTGAAAAATTGTCCATACAATTATAGATCCAATAGAAGAAAAAAATCTAGTTTCGTATGGTAATGAATGACCGATTACTTAAGCGAATCATCATCTGCCGCTCATATGACTTGGATCTAAAGGGAAAGCGTCTGCCTGGAGACTTCCAGAAGCGCTATCGATGATAAGGAAGATTTGGAACTATTGCTGACGTTTTACTAAATCACCGGCTTAATCCACGGAAGACGTTCACCGTGCTATGCCTAATTCACCGAACGGTTCAAAGAAAAATCGAACTTTGAAAATAAGTTCACTTGACTGGCGGTCCTGTTCACAAACGTAACTGCTTCAGGTACTCTGTCTGCAGTGGTTCCATGTGAATTGCAAGATATTGATGCATAACATGAAACCGGGGTAATGGAAGAGTTATTCGTCACTGTATTCTACCTTTCCATTCTTCTTGGATTATCATAAAGAGTAGGGAGACCAATATGGAAAGTACTGGACAACGAAATGTTGAACAAAATAGTGGAAATACTCGCTTACTCTGCGCCACGGGCCATTAGTTCTTTGGCATAGCGGCTCAGCTGGGCCCTTTGAATATACCGCCGCTAAAAATAAGGTGGAGTGGATAGACGTGAATGTTAGCGATAAGGATAGGGGTGGATACGTGGAGGCAAATCAGTTACTCGGGAAAGCCATTTTCAAGGAGTCAACCATGGAGGAGATAGGTTGGAACTTCAAGGGTTTGAAGGTAAAAGATACAAAAAAACATTAACAAATAAACGTGTCTAATCTATCACGTGACGAGTACCGATTTCTCGCTGGTTCGAAGTTACAGCTAATGTGTGTACAGATGGACGCAGTTCAGTATTTTGTCAGTCGACGATCGTTGTTATGACTTGAGAAATGCGGTTGCATCACTGGGTGTCAAGAAGAGAACAGATATGCATTAGATCAGGAAATATGAGTAGAGACTGTCCGAATTAACTCATTCTGGACAACATTTCAACAGATTATCAAATGATGATGTGGAATAGTTGATGGTATGGATTGAATTCCTTACGGTATCCAGTAAACAGTTCAATCAAAATGCAGAGTGGCGAACGAAGTTGTTTTCAGTGATTCTTATTCATACCAATAAATCATACAATATGCATACATATAATATATACCGCTAAATAAAGAGATTATTGTCTTGTAAAGAGAGAGAAGTTCACATCACGGACGACTAGGATTGATTTCCTCTTGAGACCGGATTTGAGATTCAAGATGATCTCACAGTTGTTTGTACATTCGTCCGACCATGAAGATTCTTCAAAATGTGGTGTACGTGGGGGTTGGGAAGGGATAGGGGAGCTTAAGCATCGACACGAAAACACTTCACATTAGAATAGTTTTATCTCTAGTAGGCGGTAAATGCGTTGTGTTTTGTCATGCTGTTCAGCTAAAATACTATGAGTACTTTTTTCCATCAACAAATGTAATCGTTGTCAGATGTGCTCTTTTGGTGCTAATGTTTAAGTATTAGCCATCATCCCAAAGAAATTTCGATCACTAAGTGATTGACTATCTTGGAAAGACTCACCCATGTAACGATTCAGGTCAAAATGTACAGGTTGATGGATTCATATAGAATGGACTTTATTTCTCGAGGAAGTCATTTACCACTGGGTTTGTTTATATGCATCTATG